AAACCAGGAAGAGAGGCGGCGGAGAAGCTGGAGGGGGCCGGTTCCCGATTCCAGGGTTGCCCCTTGGAAAGGAAGGGGGGCAGGGAAAAGGCGTTTGGGGTGTGTCCAGAGTTCGGATGGCGACTGCACGAGCTTCGCCTCCCCCCCCCGCTGCCAACAAACAACCGGAGAACAGATGTGAAAGGGAGAGTGCTGGGCAGCGATGCAGAGGCATGCACATCTGGGCAGGGGATGTGCCTTTCCGGGAAAAAATAAGAGCGAGGGAGCAAGGTGGGCCACACCTGAGGGATGCTCGGAGATGGGCAAGGGGTCTTCCTGCAATGGCGGGCAGCCCGGCTTCTCTTTATGCAGAAGAGAAGCAAAGGTCTGCCCTGGTTAATTGATTTAGCATCCGTCCGTCCGTCCACCCACCCACCTTCCCAGCCTCAAGGACACTCACCTGCGTCCGGCTCGGTCGGCCAGTCCGTCGGTCTGTCCTTTCGGGATTCTGCTTCAGGGTTTGCTCCAGCCCAGCCCAGCCCAGCCCTGCCCAGCCCTGGCTAGCAAACCCTCCCCGGTTGAGCTCACCCCAGGCAGAGGAGGAGGAGGAGGAGGAGGAGGAGCCAAAGCCATCTTGCCTTGCGTGCCCCCCCATCTTTAACCCTTGCCCTGCTACACTCCCAGGTGTGTCCAATGCAGAGATGCCAAGGGACCCCGGGAGGCCATCCGGCTCAACCTCTCCTTTGGTACCGGAACGAGCCTGGCCCAACATCCCAATTCTGGTTTTGGCTTGATGACCCGCCATCGATCCAGGCTGCTCCTCGGGGTGGGGGGGAATTGAACGCGGAGGAGCAACTCCTTCCCGCATGCACCCCCGTCCCTTGGTTCTGGCCCCGAGGGAGCCAAAATATGGGGCTTGGAGTCCCAGGGCAGTTTTTCAGTTGAGCTTTTGCCAGGGCATAACGCTGACGGCGAGCCATCATGATTGAACAATCCGAGTTTAAAACAAGCCACGGCTTAGCCGAACAGCGGCTTGGATTTAAACATCCACTCTGAGCTTTCCATTTTTTTTTCCTCCAGCGATTCCACTCAATCGCTTTAAAATAGGCCTCCTGGAGGGGACGTTCCTGAAACACGAATGGGCATTTATTTATATTTATTTTTAATGCTACATACACATATGCCTCTTGCAGTTTGTCCATACCACTCAGTTCTTGTGAGTAATAATTCTAGGCGTCACACACACACACACACACACACTCTTTAAAAATAAATATATCCTACAGCCAGGAGATATTTCTTCATTTGCAGTAGAGACATCAGATGGCAATGCCACAGATATAAACTAAACTCAAATGAAGAACGACGCTTGGGGAATTCGGCTGTCCGTAATTCAGCGGTGGTAAAGAAGTTTCTAGCCCTCATGATGCAAAGGCTCGGTGATAGAGCGGTGCTTACGTTTGTGAACCCTTTTGAATGTTCAATATTTTGGCCTAAATAGGACCTAAAATATGATCTGTTCTCCGCCCAAGTCCTAAAACTGGATAAAGAGACCCCAATGAAACGGATGAGCCAAAAACCTTATTACAGTCGCTCATTGATTTATGGAAGAAAATGATCTAAAACGACTTATTTGGCATATGGAGAAAAGATCCTGTTTTAAGTCATATCCATGCAGAAAATTCAAAAGCATTCACAAACTTTTCAGTATGACGCGTAGATGATAAGGAACACGGGACGGTGGTTTCTAATTGTTAGAAATAATTGTAGAAGTCCAGATTGGGTATCTTCACCCCCAAAGCACCTATAGGTCCATCTGAATCCCCAGCAACTCATCCGCTTCCTAAGTGTTCCTGGACTACAATTCCAATCATCCCCAACCTAGCGGCTAGGATTCCCAGCCCTGCCTGATCCAACACGCAGGATTCCCAAAAATGCTCTTAGAAAATTCTCAACTGGGGCATTAGGGAAAAACACTTTTTTTTCTTCTCTATTTGCTCGCAAATGATCTTCCAAGGTCCACTATCTTCAGAGATGGGGAGAGGGTGGCTTTAACTAGCATTTAGCAACCGGTCCAAACCCTTTGAAAGGATGTGGCTATTGCTTTTAAAAAATCTAGTTTTTTGGAGACCAATGTTAAATTCAACCGAGCCGCGAGGAACGTGAGGAACAGACGGGATCCGGATTCCGGATTTCTGCAACGGCTGGAACGAAGAGGAACCTGGAGAAAAAGAACCACGCTCGCCACCAGATCGTCCCCTTCACCACGCAAAATCTGATTTGAAAATAATTTATTGGTACAAAGCCTTTCGAGCAGCCATTAAAGACCTCACACCATTTTCAGCTTCACTCAAATACGGCTCCCGGCTTAGCAAGCCACCTCCTGCATCGAAGACGGGCATCGTGAACGCCCGAGCAGCAACTCGTCCGCTTCCTAAGTGTTCCTGGACTACAATTCCAATCCTCCCCAACCGCAGACCCTAGCAGCCAGGATTCCCAGCCCTGCCTGAGGTCAGGGAAGGACGCAGACATGGAAAAAGGCAGCCTTAGAAATACGGCTGGGTTTTTCTCTCGCCTTAGAGAGCAAGAAAAGTACAGTCAATCTATCAGCTTCTTAAATAGTGCATCTACTGGAGAAAAAATAAAATAAAATCCCGCCAGGGGGAGGAAAATATTCCTTCTATTCCCGTTCATCTCTTTTTGACAGGATAAACTTCCTTGACCCGTTTTGCCCCTTGTGAATCAGCCTCCAACCGTTCTAAGAAACTTTTTAGCTCAAGTCCCAGCTGAAAAAAAACACAGATTAAAAAATGAGAGGCGGCTTTCTTTCTGAGCGATCACTTTTGCCTCTTGTAGATTTTTTCAGCCAAAGCCAGGAAGATCTGGGCCGGCAAGTGAACGGCGTGCTGGGTGATTAAACCCAAGAGCTGCTGATAGCTTCTTTCTTCGTAGGCTTCGTAAACGGCTTTTAGGTCCTGCTCCTCGTAAAGGGCCTTCACGCGGGCAACTTTCACCGGATCCTTCTGGCCATAGTTCTCCTACGGGGTTCAAAAGACTAAGTCCGGACAGGTGAAGATGTAATCCTTCCAGCCTCTCCCACCCGGGCTGCGTTTGCACAAGCCACTTAAGGAATGAACCCCTTTTCTGAGTTTGTGGAAGCCCTGAATCACGGCCTCCAGAAATAGTCTGCCTTGGGGCAACGTGCTGTAATGGTCTGGGGGAATGACCTCGGGAGACAGGAGGAAGAGCCGCAGATTGGACAACCGGCGTGTAAAAGGTGGCTCAGCCCAGAGGAAAAGGGAAAAGGGATGTGGGAAGCATCTCAAAAGCGGCCCTGCCTAGGTTTCCAGAGAGTAAAAGGAGCGAAACAGGAACTGAAGTGGAGAGTGTAATGGTCTGGGGGAATGGCCTTGGGAGATGGGAGGGAGAGCCACAGACTGAACATCCGGCGTGTAAAAGGTGGCTCAGCCCACAGAAGGAAAAGGGGTGTGGGAAGCATCTCAAAAGGGGCCCTGCCTAGTTTTCCACAGAGCAAAAAGATAGGAGGAGAGAAATACTTTCACTCTGCAAGATCCTCTTAATGGAACCAAGCCATAAAGACAGATGTCCACCCACGAACCTGCCATCCATCCTAACATTTTATCCTCTTTTCTTTTTACTTTATTTTTAATACGGTTCTGTTTGCAATTCTGGCCCGTGACCGTAACAAACATAAAATTTTCTGTTCTCATAAAGATAGAGCTAGGATTCCTGGTTGGGCTTCTTGTTTGGACCACCTCGCAGGGCTAACACGTGGGGAGCCCCTCAGAAGCAAATCTAAGGTCACCCGAAGCTCACTGGCTTCCCAAACCATGTTGGTTTGATCGAAGCTTCCGGGAGGGGAGGGTTAGTTGGGGTTGATTCAGGCGCCGTTGGGAAACCCGGTTCTCTGATCACGGTCTTGCAAGCCAGGTTACCTCCAAAATCTTTCGCTGCTCTGGAGATGCCAGTTTGAGGCTCTGTACCACGAGCCAGCTGCACTTATTGTCCTGAATATCTGTCCCTATCTTGCCGGTCATTTGGGGGTCCCCGAAAGTGTCAAGGAAATCATCCTGCAGGAAAAACAGATGGATTTTAATTTCTGGACTGTCCCAAGGATCAGCTTCGCTGTTGTTCCAGGAAGGACTAAAACGATTTCAGGCTGCAGGGTTTTTGCAGAGCTGCGGGGCTCCCCTTTGCAAGAAATTGTTGGCAGTTAACCAAAACCAGTTTATCAGCTTATCAGCTCCCCTGCAAAACTTCCCACTTTTCTTGCTTTTTCCCCAGTTGGGCAAATATTGCTTTATTCCGGGGAGAGGTGAACGATCGGCCAGTTAAAACCGAACCTTGCACACACTTCTTTGTACGAAAGGCACACCAGCGTTCAAATGTCCTTTGCAACCCAGGTAGGAATTTAATTGCTGTCCAATCCAAACATGCAGTCCCAGCTTTCTCCTATAGAGGGCTTCTGGGAGCTTAAACCATCAGCAAGTTTCTAGCCCTCATGAAGCCATCTTTTGCAAAGAACAGAGACGCTGCCTGAAAAAAACAGAGGACGAGGGAAAATAGCCAGCCTCGCTCCTCCAAGTCTGGATGTCCCGGGTTCAAATCCCGACATCCTTGGCAAAAAGTTGCAAAAAACAGTACCTGGATTTGAAAGAATTCCCCCATCTCGAAAAGGATGGCCTTGGCGTTTGCGTGTTCTTCTTCATTGTCAATGCCAGCCTAGGTGAGGAGAAGGAGAAGGAAAAACTAAATACAAACTACGTGGATAAACTTCACCGGGAGCAATGAGTTAAAACTACCGTTTCTAGTATATTTCCCTATTCCTTGCCCTGAGCTGGGACTTCCTCCATTTATTTTCATTTATCTTTAAAAAAAAAAAAAGAGTCGTTAAGTTTAATTTGGGGGCTTTTTTTAAACAACTTCATTACGATTTGAAACAAGAAAGATAAAAACTAAGAGAAGCTACTATTTAGAAGAAAGGCAAGAATGAGAAAACGAAAGAAAGGGCAGAGGCAAAAATGCAGGAAAAAAAAGAGAAAATATAAAGAAGTAATTTCTGATTTTCTTTTACAGCAGGCGTAAGTGTAAATTAACCTCAGTTAACAGCATGACTTCCCTGTTTGCTATAATCTATTTTTTTCTAATCCTCCAAACCATCAATCGTAAGGTTTTTTTTTTCCTGTAAAACCATCGATCCTAAGTTCGTTTTTTAGTTACTTTTGGGTTTAATCTCGGAGGGTTGGCGCGGATGGTAGAAACCTTGGAGCTGTTTTCCTGACTCTTAGCCAGCGGCATTGCGAGAACATTTCTCCGTGAGAGGCCAAGATCAGAGGTCTCCATTTCCCCTTCGGGAAATTTCTCGAAGTTGCCCAGCTCCGTAAGGATCCTAGCCAACTCAGTTGGACAACTAAGACGACTCGTCCAAGATCACCGTAGCGAAAACCCCCAAAAGTGTTTTATTCAGGCCCATTCTTCAAGGGCTAACCACACCAGCCTATCCACGGGGAGGCGTGTTAATGTTTTCTGTCTCTCGGCAGCTCGGCGAACGCAGAACCTTGGACTCACCATATACAAAGCCGCCGCCACGGGTAAATAGAATGAATAATACGCCGTCTTGTGCTTTACAATCGCCTTGTACCTGCCGAACAGAAGGTCTTGAGCGTTTGGGGGACAAATGACGCCTTGCAACCGTTTTAAAAAGAGCACTGCGGTGGCCCTCGATGATTTCAGGGACAAGGTTTTTAAAGGAGACCCCCCCCCCAGCTCTGCAAGACCCACACATTGATGCCAAGGGTGTGTTGCTTACGGGGTCCCGGTATACCGGCGAGGCCTTCTCTTCTTTAAACGGGACTTTTTTGGAAAAGGCAAGCGTTCGACTTTCCAAAGCCCCATCTTCCTCCATTACCCCAAGGGCTTCTCACCTTTCTTCGGTGAAGCAATTCAAATTGATCTGAAAAAGGTCCAACGTTTGTCCCAGTTCTGTCTGGTAGGAAATCTGGGGAAGAACAGGACGGAGAAAAGCAGATGATGAGGAACATCATCATCGAAAAGCAAGAAACACGATCCAGTAGGACCTCTTTCCTTCTGCTTTGGCTTTTTTATTCATTGATTTATTAGATATACTCCCCAGCTTTCGGGTTCAAGAGCTCAGGGCGGCCTATGTAGTATTTCCTCCTCCTCCTTGGCGCCACGACAATCCTGCGAGGTAGGCCGGGCTGAGAGCCAGTGAATGGCTCAAAGACTCCCAGGGGATGTCTGTGGCTGAGGGAGGACTTGAACCTGGGTCTCCCCATCTCTAGTCCAGCACCTTTCCCACTACACCACCTGGGTATTTAATACTGTGGGTTTTCTCTGACTTTAGGCCGGATTTAAAATAGACTGTAAAAGGTTCCATTCTATAGGATTCTTCGATTCCAGGCATTAGCCTTTTTTACGCCATAAAGTTCAGCCTTGGCCCCTCCGCTGCCTCTCCGGGGCCCCAAATAAAACTCAGCCAAATTAAGAGGAATCTTAGACGGGAGGAAAAGGAACAGGCCTGGTTTACTGGGATGAGCTGCTCTGGAAAGGCTCACCTGGTGGAAAAGCTCCAACAAATTCAGATAATACGGCTGATCTCGGCAGTGGCGTTTCAGCAGCTGGTAAATGCTAGCCTCAACCAAAAAGGAATCATTCACAGCATCCAAGCCGATCCCTTCCTACAGGAGGAGACGAAAAAGGAGAAAAGGCAACATAAGAATTGCTGGAGAATCAAGACAGGCCATCAAGCAACCCCTAACGCCTACTTTTAACTTTCTTGCAAATAACAAGAGGGCCTCTGAACATGTACAGAGGGCCATCCTTCACCCCCACCAGTCCCCGAAGCGGGAATTCTACTCCAGCCGTCTCTGGGCTCACGGACTCCGAAGGGTCTTTGGGCTTGGCGGGATTGTGGCTCCCGAAGCAAAACCTTTGCAGAGATCTGGGCATCCGAGCTACGTTGCCCGTGGCTGAAAGATTTGCTTTCTGTATTTTTGCACAACTGGGGCACGAGGCCCAAATTCCCAGCTAGGGCAAACTCCAACTATTATATTCCAATTCTCCCAAAGGAGACCAGATTGGAGAAACTGCTATGTCATTTCATTGATATCCCCTTGGACAGCGGGTAGCGTCCAAGTCTCGTTTCATGTCATCTTTGTCTATTCTTTTTGAGGGCTGGTATTTCTTTGGGTCCGTTTACAACGTACTGTATTGCTGAATCCCCCTGCAATGATTCAATTCAAGGATCAAATTAAGGGCGCGGCCTGAACCCAATCACTTGATCTCCAGATGCCAGAAGAATCAGCGCACGGTCCCTCGTCCCAAAGCTTTTAGGATGAGATCCGAGGTTATCTGCCTGTTTAGGACACGGGTACAGCCTTGGTTCAGTCCTCTCAAGGGCTAGTAAAATTCAGAATTGTCCCAAGGCGAAATTGGCACCCAGAAGGAAAGAAACAAGAGTATTTCCCCCTCTTTTGCCACAGTGGGTTTGTGTGATGGAATGGACTTATGAAGGCCGAGCTCAGGGAGATAAGCATTTTCTTAGCTCGCCAGAACAGCGTGGGAGG